AGAGAGAGAGAGAGAGAGAGAGAGAGAGAGAGAGAGAGAGAGAGAGAGAGAGAGAGAATCATACTGTTGTCGTCGGTTGTACATGTCGCGGTTCATCGGATGCCACTTGTGTCGGAATGAACTTTTTCGTTCTATAGAGGCCAACATTCTAAAATAGGTTCTTGTAGGGTTCGGCGAGCTCTCGACGAATCTCTCAATAATGAAATTTGTTTTCAGAAAGAATGTGAAGACACGTACAAAGACAGGGTATCGTATGATTATCTTTTCTGGGAAATGTGTTGTTAGTTTTATGTGCTCTGCCCGCGCTCCCCCTCTCTATCACCCTACCCAACCCATCTCTCCTATCGAAGAAATATCGCCTGTACTCATACTCCTATTACTATCGCTACTATTACTACCACTATTATTACTATTACTACTGTACGTACTCACTCATCGCCGCCACGCGTTTGTCGTGCTAGCTTTTTCGCTGCTGTTATCATCTATTCATGCGCAGTGATTGTATTTTTTCACCTATATTATCGAGATCGAAAGTCACCCATGTCGATTATTTGGTTTATTCTCGCGGGTACTAAAATGTCTTCTTAGATTTCACATTTCCTTGTATCAATTTATCCCGTGTGAACGTGCAAGATTGGTTAATAACGTCTGTTCTGTGTAACGCGAAACTCTCGTTGGCTTGTTGATGTGGCTACGGAGCGCGCAGGTATCTATGCAGATTTCAACCAGGGAGATGATAATAGTAAGATTCGAAAAAGGAAAGAAATATTCAAGTATCTAGGATGTAAAGGCTCAATTACGTAAAGCAAGCCTCAAGACATAATTGTACGCGCGTATAATATGTATTTTCAAATTAATTTTAATAGAGTATGGCTACTGTCGATGAGACTACAAGCCAGACTTTACCAAAAAGGTTTCCAAAGTATCATCATAGAGTGGAAACGTTCAATATATTTTGTTTACATTACGCGTATATGTAAACATACATACACGTTAACATACATACACGTTATATATAGGATAGTTGAAAACGTTGAGAGCAAGCTTCGAGAATCGAACCAAGTACACTTTTTTTTCTTTTTTTCTATATTTTTTTTTTTTTTTTTTTAATAAACAACTTGTGTACGAAATCGCGTTTTAGTCGAGCCGGTACTCTAGTGCGACATCCACCGTTAACGTTAGCTCCCAGCACTGTACCCATCGACACAACTGATGCGTTTTGTGCTGTCTTGTGTTGTGCTGCCTTGACTGGAATGATGGATATAACGATGGGTGTGCCGGGGGTGTACAGGGCGCGCACAGTCCCGGACCGCGTGCCCTATCGATGGGCTGTTATCCCATACAAAGTATATGCTCTCAGATCCTAGATATGCCTGATGTAAGTACTCACGGCCTCGAGTCCTTCTTTGAGCGAATTATCCGCCGAAAGAGCGGCATCGAGTGGTGGTACTCGTAGGTTCCTCATTATCGGCTCGTTATGGCATGTCGAATATCGTTGTCGTTGGTGGCAGTGGCGAATCTACCGAATTTACAAACACTTACACTTTGCCCGCTCTCGATCACGCGAGGATCAGACATCTGTTGCAAGCTCGCGTTGAAGTTCGCGAGTCAGAAATTTCGGTCTCCCGCGTTCCCTCAAAGGCCAAAGTTTCATGAATCATCCGATCATCCGATAATTGACCATCGTCGGGTGATCGATAGGCGACCGAATAAGGATACACACAGAGACCACAGAGTCTTGAGAGCAAGTGGAAACGTTGCTGATCGTTATCAAGACGAGATTTCATGTTGACGTAACATTTATCCATACTTTTGTCTCTCTAACCGAATGATGTTGCCATGATTGTTATTGCATGACGAATGATAATATTGTGCATTAATTCGCAAGAGATAAAGATATCTATTTTTGCCAGCACGTCAGCCTGGTGTCTTCGTGTTCGTATAAGTAAGATAGAAACGCGTTTTATCGCTGGCATTCTTTACGCGACACTTGGACCGTACTGCAAATTATTCTTCAAACATCTCTTTTACACAAGTGCACGTGTAACGATAATCACACGTGATTTGTACCCGCTAATTCGTACACGAGATGTCAAGCATTTATTTAGCGTTGTCATACATTAATCGTGAGCAACTTGCGCACAGATCAAAATAACGAGATGCAAACAGCAAATTATTGTTGTAGTGCAAAACTAAAAACACGAACAAATTCGTTTTTTGTACGTGCAACACTTTATACATTGGAAATATTCGTTACCTCTTGTAGCCCGACTACACTGTGTATACACACACACACACACACACATACAAATTATATATATATCACTGTTGCATTCTTCTAGTTATACAACCTGATTGTAGAAGATGCTGCCAACGATAAAATCTCGATATTCCTTTGCTTCGTTACCATCCCGATATCCGGAAAAACACGGTAAACGTAAACCAAGAGACGATATTTCCGCTCTAAAAATATCTTCCAATTGACCAAGATATCGCCCGATCGATCTTCGAGACGGCGATATTTTTGGCCGAGTATCTCGTATGTGCAAATACCAAATGTCGATGAAATGGCGCATTTGTCTCAAAAGAAGTGACAAATCTTTCGGAACATATCGTTTACTGTATTTTTCCGTAAAGCAGCTGATATATATAATAATCGTTTTAATTTTTATTTATACCAACCAAACGCATGTTCAAAGATGATTTAGTTTGCTCTCTTCTCAAGATATTAGCGAAACCTTGGAGACTAATGTTTGCACAGTTGTAAAAAAAAAAAAGAAAAAAAAAACAGAAACAAAGAGACCCGTCATCGTTAGTATCACGTCAATTAATCGCGTGAATTTATTTATTCGCCAGTTGCTTACCCTATGGTCGTGGCTACCGGCGAGGATCACGATGTACCAGCCGGTGTTGTTGTACACAACCGAGGAACACGGATGTTCTCTGACAACGTTTTACGTGCGAGTGGAGCAACACGAGCCGACTCTGCTGATGATAAAAACCTGCAATAACGAGGTGAGTTGTTTGATCCGTCGAGTGTCACATAAGAGTGATACAAGTCGAATATTAACGTACTGCCGTGTTCCAGGTATTCGGGGCGTATTGTTCCACCAGGTGGTATGAACGCAACATGAAAGTCGACGGGCAAAGACAGACCTATTTCGGTACGGGTGAGACGTTCTTGTTCAGCTTGTATCCCGAGCGACACAAGTATGCCTGGGTGGGCATGAATCCGGAACGACAGCAGTGTCTAGTGAAAGACGGTGACAGCGACAAAGGTATGAAATCTAAGGCCATAGACCACTCGGCCGAGCTATTCATGGCCGCGGACTCGAAAATGATAACCATCGGTGGCGGAGACGGCCAAGCAATTTGGATGGACGAGAACATTAGATTCGGCAAGACGGATCACTGTTCGACCTTCGACAACCCGCCTCTCTGCGCCAACGGTGACTTCGAGATCAGAGTGTTGGAAGTGTACGGCTTCGCGGGTGCCTAAAAAGGGAAAAACAGTGCAGTGCAGTGCATCAGTTTATTTATTCCCTACTGCCATTTTGCGACTCTCTTTCTACATATACGTACACTAGATACACTCGTGTTACATGTTGTAAATGTATATGTACGTACATATATATATATATATATATATATATATATATATATATATATATATATATA